TTGTTACAATGTAATTTTTTAGAAGAATACAAAGAGATTTCTGGAGCTTTTCTATGGGTCTCTCTCTTTTCTCTTGGATCTGCAAAGGTCAAGACAGGACATGATTTCTCTGAAGGTTTGGATGAGGATTCTGCCTGCTTACTGCTCATTGAGGCTCTTTTGACCCTGGCCCAGCACTCAGTCTCTAGCTGGAAAGTGAGGGAGGGGGCAGCCATGAGCAGAGAATTGGGCATCTCCCCTTGGAGTCAGATACATTCTGACCTAGCAAAGTTGGTCCAAGCTCATTGAGCTGCACTTTGAATAAGAGCATTCTGAAGGTTTCAGCAAAAACAAATAAGACACGTTGTCAGCAATTGGTAGAAGCTGGAGTATGTTGGGAGAATTTTGTTTACAAATCTTCTCTTTTCTCTTTAGATCTTCCCATATCTATGTAGGGCTATTAAAGAACTCTTTGGTTTATTTCTTTACTTCTGGGATTTTATGATTTTGAGTGATTAATAATAAATGTGTCAAACATAAGTGGTAACTCAAGCCAAGAGTATATTCTGTTGCCCTTAGCTAAATGTAGTGGATTTTCTTTGCTTTATTCGGTCTTGTCTTTTAAAACCAATTTTGTTAATTTGAGCTGATTTTTGTGCTCATGCAGATGGTACTGAGGTAAAGTGTGGGTGCAGTTTTACACTGCTGACTGCCTTTTAATGAAATCTTAAAATGAATGTATCTTGGTGGCTTGGGGGTCTATGGAACATAGTGAGATTTCAGCCACGTATATCATGCAGGCTCTTCAGATGTAGTTCAACTTGGATCCACCTATCTGTGAGAATTAAGCCAAGACTGGAAAACAAAAGTCCATAAAACTCTCAAGGTGAAAGAGTGTCTTGTAATTTCAGGTTATTTAGCATGTTTTGTTTCTTTAAAACTGAGGTGATGCTCTTAGGTATACCCTTTACCAAACACTTCCTGGATTCCAGGCATCCTGCTAGGAATGCCACCTGTCCTCTATCATTCATCCCCACAACATCAAAATATCTAGGAATGATCATTTCTCCTCTGAAGATGAGAAAACTTTTTGTGTTGATTATTATTATTATTATTAGTAGTAGTAGTAGTAGTAGTGCCAGGGATTGAATTCAGGGGCGCTTAACTACCAACCACATCCTCAGCCCTTTTTAAATATTTTATTTAAAGATGGGGTCTGGCTGAATTACTTAGGGCCTCACTAAGTTGCTGAGACTGGCTTTGAACTTGTGATCCTCTTTCTCCTGCCTCAGCCTCCCAAGCCATTGGGATTACAAGTGTGCACCACCACACCTGGCCAGGCCAGCAAACTTGGATTCCAAAGGGTGTGCTTAAAATTCATGGAGCAGGTAAGAGGTGGTGTGGGATATAGGGGCAGTTACCTACCTGTCCTGATATCCTGCTTGTTGGTGACTGGCACTTTAGGAAGTAGCTTTTGCTAACTTTAATCACATCTACCTGTGCTGCTTAAAATCCTCCAGCAAAGGTACAGTGGGGAGCTGCCATATGATCCAGAGAAGGCTCCATTAAGTCAAGTCCTTTAAATAGCAAGATCCTGCTTCAAGTTTCTATTTACTTGAAAAGATCTTATCCATGTTTAAAATAAGCCTTTTAGGACAAGGGGTGTAGCTCAGTGGCAGAGTGCTTGCTTCACATGTGCAAAGCCCTGAGTTCAATCCCTACACTGCAAAAAAAAAAAAAAAACAGACAAAAGCATTTAAAATAGATAAGTGTGGCCTACATGGAGACATAGCTCATCTCAGCATTCTCTAGGGACCTTGTTAGGATCAGGCAATGAACAATGAGTTTCTGCTGCAAGCTGTTTCCATCATTGCTCCTGCGGAGCTGGAGCTCAAACAAACTCTGGGGCTATTGAATGTTGCTGTATGATCTCCTTTAATGCTCACAGCAGCCCCTTTGGTTTGCATTATTACAGAGAAGGAAACTGAGGCACAGAGAGGTTAAGCACACAGAGGCCAAATATAGTAAATGATCAAACTCAGATTTGCACCTTACCCTTAACATTATGCTATTGTCATTCCTAAGTGCAGTATTTTGTGCCATAAATCCTAGCTCATCTCATCCCAGCTATAGACTTGCTTGGCACTGAGGAGAACAGAAGCCATGGGTTGCTGGCGTGGGTTGCTCCTGGGTTTGTTTGAGTTGTGCCCTGGAGTCACAAATACTCAGTATAAGTGTCATGATTGCTCATGTCTGAAATTGGATCATGGTTCTTGTCCTTTGTCTATCTTCTAGGGAACTTTTCTTGAGGAGAGGGAGTCACCAGCAGATGAAGGGGGTTAATTAGATTTGTGCTTTACATCCTGTACACCCATAAAGGGATTTGTACATCTATCAGGAATTATGGCTTTGTAGCCAGGTTTGTAATTATGATATTATGTGGATGTATGTATTATATGGAACTCATGAACCTTTAAAAATAAGGCATTGAGAAGAATAAATTTCTTTGCTGAAGATAAAGTGAACCTAATGGGCTCATTATGGTAATACATTTATGTATTTTATAATCTCAATAGAAAAAATCTTTTCATGTATAAATATAATTCAATAAAAATAAATCTGTGAAGTGGTTTTGTGTACTATAATAGAGAATGTTTTAAGCATAGGAATGGTCCCTCTGGTCAATTATGTCTCCTTTGTTTTTATTCTCATATAAATAGTCTCTTAATCAATTATCTTGTTAGTCAAACATGATTACCTGCCTTGGAAATAGGGTTTTTGGTGTCCCCACCCCCTTTTTTATACTAGCTTTGAGCTTCTTGCTTCTGTCACTTTAGCTGTCAGTCAAAAACATTAGTTGAAATGGGTACCATAAATCTATATTCGTACGCTTACAAGATTTACTTGTTTTCAAATATAATGGGATGATTGAGGAGATGGAAAATAGAGAAGCATGGTACCAGGTGAGATTCTTTTGGTCATAGGTAAGATTCTGTTAGCCTAAGTGAGAAAGAAGATGGATTTACAATAAAAGGATACAGAAATGTTGGAACTTAAGGGTGGGGATGAAGTAACCCTGAGGAGTGAAGGGGAGCTGGAGGTGAGAAAGTGAACCCCCCAATTGGTGTTCACTGCAATATACAAGTGTCATGACTCTTGGTAAGACAAGGGGGAAGGAAGATTAATGGAAGGTAGAAATGTTATTACTTAATTCTTGAGCACAGATTTACAAAGTTTATTCTTTAGGAAAGTAATTCATGCTCTTGAAATTCAAGCAGTATAAGTACAAATCATCTAAAATTCTGATAAGTAGGATTTCTATTTTGATAAACATTCTTCTAGACATGTCTGGACATCCAGAATACCCCGCTTCTTTCATGCATATGCATGCCCATCGTGCGCATGTGTGTGTGTGAACACACACAGAATTATAGTGTACATAGTCATTACGTATTTGTTCACTAAAAATTATATCATGGTTGTCTTTTCATATCAATAAAAAGATTTCCATCAGTACTTGCAATGTTTATATTTTACTTAGCATTGCTCCTATTTGCAGGCCTTTTTTAGTGTTTACGTTTTTCTTTCTGTAACAGTAACTTGCATATCCACCTTTCTCCGTACATGTTTATCTCCTTTAGATTTGTAAAGAATCTTTAAGTAGGAGTACAGGATCAAATGTATGCCATTTTACATGCTGACCTAGTTGTCCAAGTGCCTAGAGAGTGACTTTCCTAATTTATAATCTCACCATGAAGGTGTCCATGACATTAGACATTTATCATCAGTCATTGGCATCTTTAATAACCTGATAGGTAAAAAATAAGATTTGAATCTTCTAACATTGTTTTTCTTCAGTGTTACTTGATATCTTTTCATATCTTCATTGCTATTCGATTTCTTATGACAAAGTTTTTAAATTTCCTTTGTCCGTTTTGAGAGGAAGATTAATTTCTTTACTAATTTTAAGGTAGTTTAGCAAAGAGAGATAAGCAACCTTTTATTCCTCACATGTAACTATTCACTACTTTTCCTAGTTTCTTTATCCTTTTATGATAGTTTCAATTAAAAAATCTTTAATTTAAAGAATGTAGCCAGCCAATATTTCAATCTTTTATAGTTTTAGATTTTGGTGTTATGCTTAAAAACCTTTTTTATGCCTATATTACAAAACCTCATAATAATTCAAGTACATATTCTTCTAGTCCTCATTTGATTCTATTTTGAGTTTATTTTTTTCACAAGTAGAGAGGGACAGACTCAAATTTTCCCTCTCTCTTAATAGCTAACCAACATCACTTATTCATAATTCTTTCATACCTGCCCAGATTTGATTACATGTACTTGGGTCTGTTTCCTGTGAATACTCTGGATGTTTATATAAATGTTCTCACTCAGAGTTCTGTTTGTTAACTATGGCTGGGTTGTTTTGTTGATTTGTACACTTGATTCTGAGGTGTTTCTCTACTTCAAATTGGATTTTCATGGAGTAGGTCATCAAACAGTGTGTTTCCAGTGCCTCAGAACTGGGGAGGACACAGGAACAGCTGGAGCCAGAAGGGGCTGTTCCACAGACATGTTGGAGGAACTGAGTAGGAAAAAGTGAACAAAACCAGAAGAGCTCATGCAAACAAATTTAAAAACAATGAGAGTGCAGGGCCTGAGATTGTTAATATGGTGAGAGGGTGCAGGAAGGGGAATATATATATATTTAGCTTTTGTTTAAATTCAAGTCATAAAGCCTTCTTACCACAGGGAAGAAGAAAAAAAATGTGTTCTTGCCTCTTTGCCAACAGTAACATAATTTTGGTCTTCGAAATAAGTGTCTTGGGACCTCAATTCCCTGTTGGTACAGCAAATTCCCAGTCCATGTGTTGTGGCGGAAATTCATTATTTCCTGAGTTATTTCCTTTCATGCTTAGTGTGGAGGAAATGACCAAATGTATAGATTGAGGTCCCAACCCCCCAAGCCTGATGTCTGCAGCATTACTTGATTCTGATGACTTTGATTATTGTTTCAGGTATTGCTGCTGAATGCTTCTCGTCTGCTTCAGGGTATCTTCAGGGAAATCAACTCTACATAAACTAAGAATTTAGGTGAGTCTTTAAAAACCAAACCAATCAAAAACCTTGCCAATTGTCCATCTGCGGTGTGTTGGTGTAGTTTTCTAAAGTGTCACAGTCTTGTCTCTTAATTTGTCTGGTGATATTCAGCATGGGTCTGTGTGGCAGGTGTGCAGAGTGTCTGGGTTTTAGTCCCCTTGCTGTTTTATTTTTCCACCTTGTGGGGGGCCATGCTAAGAGCCTGGAAGATGGGGTGAGTAGTTGGCTTTTTACCTTATCAGACTTCACTGCAGGAATCCTCATTCATTGTGTTTGCTTCATAGATCTTTTCTTTTTTTTTTTTGGCAGGGGGAGGGGTGGATAGGAAGTGCTATGTAAGGAACTAATGTAGAAACTTCAGCCATTTGAATTGCAATGGTAGTCCCTGGAGACTCCAGGATTGGGGGTGTTGGGTCTGGCATGGGAGGAAGTAGCTGCAGTCCTTTAGTTTGGTTTCCCCATGGCTGTCCTGAGTGGGACCACATGATCCCAAATGGTGTGTATGAAATATTCTGGGCTAAGAGGCAGGTGGCTCTTCTGCAGATCCTGTGTGTGCCAGAGTTGAATTCCATAAGGTAAAAGGCATGGTTTATTCTCCTACTCTCAGTAACTGTGTCATAGCATGCTTAGAGGCATCAGTTCTGTTTCTGCCCAGCTTGGACATGTTGCTTAATCTCTGCTGCTCTCCTGTTCTTCATCTGTAAAATTTGTAGGTTTTCTTAGCCTAATTATTTCCATGCTTATAGATTTTGTGGAATAGGGAAAACACATCAGGACCAATTTTTAATATATATTTTGGCTGAATATAAACAAAGTTGATGATTGTTAAAGCTCACTGAGTGTGTGGAAGTTAACTGTATATTTGTATGCTGTTCTATTTTGTGTTGGTATTTTTCTTTTTGTGATTTCTTTTTTAAAAAAATATTTATTTTTTTAGGTGTAGATGGACACAACACAATACCTTTATTTTTATGTGGTGCTGAGGATCGAACCCTGCCCATGCTAGGGTTCTACCCCAGCAGTGATTTCTTTTCTACTCTTTTTATTGGTGTGTTATAGTTACATAGTTACAATAGTAAGAATTGTTGTTACATATTCATATGTGCATATAATATAATGGCATAATTTGCTCAATTTTATTCCCCAGGACCTCCCCTTTTCCTTTCCTCCTTCCCCCTGGTCCCCTTCCTCTCCTCAACTATTCTCCTTTCTATTTTCATGAGATCTCCCTGACCTTTTCTTTTCCTTTTTTCTCTGCATTTTCCACATATGAGAGAAAACATGACTTTTGACTTTCTGAGTTTGGCTTACTTCACTAGGCATGATGTTTTCTACTTCTATCCATTTACCAGTGAATAACATAATTTCATCCTCCTTTATGGCCAAATAAAACTCCATTGTGTGTATATACCTCATTTGCTTTATCCATTCATCATTGACAGACACCTATGCTGGTTCCATAATTTGGATATTGTTATTGTGCTGCTATAAACATGAATATGCATTTATTGACATAGTATGATAACTTTAATTCTTCAGGATAAATTTCAAGGAGTGGTACAACTGAGTCATATGGTGGTTCCATTCCTAGTGTTAGATATGAAGTGTCCCCCAAAAGGTCATGCATGAAACAATGCAAGAATTTTCAGAGGTGAATTGATTATGAGAGGTGTAACCTAATCTGTGGATTAGGATTAAGTGGACGTAACTGTAGGCAGGTGGGATGTGGCTGGAGGAAAGAGATCACTGGGGGTGTGCCTTGGGGTTTACATATTGTCCCCAATGAGTAGAGGTCCCTCTGCTTCCCGGTGGCCATATCCTGAGCTGCTTTCATCTGCCTCATCCCTCTGCCATGATGTTCTTCTGTCTTACCTCTGGCCCAGAGCAATGGAGTTAGCTGTCTGTGGATGGAGATCCTCTGAAACTGTGAGCCAAAATTAACTTTTCCTCCTCTAATTGTTCTTGTCAGGTATTTTGGTCATAGTGCTGAAAAAGCTAACTGAAACACCTAGTCTTTTGAGGGAACTCCATACTGATTTCCATAATGATCAAGCTAATTTACGATACCATCAATAGTGTAAATGTTTTTGCTCTTTTCTCTCTACATTCTCTCCAGCATTTATTGTTATTTGTATTCTTTTTATAAAAAAATATTTTTTAGTTTTGATGGACCTTTATTTTATTTATTTGTATGTGGTGCTGAGAATCGAACCCAGTACTTCCCACATGCTAGGCAAGCACACTACCACTTAGCCGCGAACCCAGCCCCTGTTGTTTGTATTCTTAATGGCTGCTTTTCTAATTGATATAAGATGAAATCTCAGTGTAGTTTTGATTTCATTTCCCTAATGCTAAAGATGTTGAGCATTTTTTTTCATGTATCTGTTGGCCATTTGTCTTCTTGATTTTGAGAATTGCCTGTTTAGTTCATTTGTTCATTCATTGATTAGATTAATTTTTCTTTTTTTGATGGCAAATTTTTTGAGTTATTTATATATTTTGGATATCAATCTTATATCAGAAAAGTAGCTAGGAAAGACATTCTTCTGTTCTGCAGGCTTTCTCTTCACACTCTTAATTGTTTGTTTTGCTGTGCCAAAGCTTTTAAATTTGATGCCTTCCCATTTATTAATTTTGGGTTTTATTTCCTGAGCTTTAGGAGTCCTATTAAGGAAGTCATTTCCTGCAATTGTGTGTTCAAGTGTTGGCCCTACATTTTCTTCTAGCAGTTGCAAAGTATCTGATCTAATTCCTAGATCTTCAATGCATTTTAAGTTGATGTTTGTACAGGGTAAGAGTTGGGGATCTAGTTTCATTCTTCTACATATGGATGGATATAAAGTTTTGCCAGCACCATTTGTTAAAAAGTCTGCCTTTTCTTTAACACGATTTTGGTGTCTTTGTCAAGGATTGGATAACTTCATCTATGTGGGTTTGTCTTTGTGTCTTCTGTTCTGTTGGTCTATGTGCCTGGTTTTATGCCAGTACTATGCAGTTTTTGTTAGTATAGCTCTTTAGTATAATTTGAAGTTAGGCATTATGATGCCTCCAGCTTTGCTGATTTGGCTTAGAATTCCTTTGGCTATTCTGGATCTTTTATTCTTCCAAATGAATTTTAGGTCTTAGAATTTTTGTAATAAAGGATTTATTTTCACAAAATAACTACTATCTACCAACATAATTCCACAAAAGAACTATTTTGATACTAAAAGAATAGGAATGCCACACATTTGTGTCTCACTTGTGCATATTTAGCACTACAAAAAACACTAGTATTTTTTCACCTTTTCCTTGTTTCTCTGCAGAACAGTGTCTGTTAGCCATGGACTTGGCAGCATGAGTCCATCGACTAGTATTCAGAAAATATTGGGGATATGACTGCTAAAGGCTCTTCTTCTGAAACTGTGTCATTCCTTCCAAAAAGGAAATAAATATACCCTACTCACACCTTGTCAATTTCAGACATCTAAAAGAGGTCCACAATCAAAGACGAAAAGACTGTTTTCTTGGGAACTTAAAGTAAAAATGAGTTACACTGCGGCCTATGTGAAAATGAAAACAGTGTTTTAGTAGTCTGATAAAGGTGTATAGATCGTGCCTTCTCTCAGTCGTGGGGCAGCATCTGGTCAGGTGGTACTTGATGCATAAACATCTGCCTGGGGTAGGGGCGCATATGCTAAGAGCTGGGGAGAGGTGAGCTGAATGCTAGACTCAAGGGAGACCTCTGCCAACCCCAAGTGTGAGGAGTTCAAGTATGGACAGAGGTCAAGGTGCATAGCCAAGAGCTCTGAGCTAAGAGTGATGGATCAGAAGACCCTGGGACAATGAGAGGTTTTCCTCCTGGAGGACCATGTGGGGCACCTAGTGTAGATGTTGCCCTTTGAGGACCCATAGAGGGTGCTGGGTGGCCCAGCCTGGCTAAAGAGCCTGGGATAGAGTGGGCAGGAAGGTTACCCATCTATGCCATTCCCAAGATTTCAGATCTGAAAGGAGCTTTCGAGGTGGCATTATGTGCCCTGGTCTGTAGAGAATGGAATGCTATTGCTTGGAGTTTGCTCTCCTTGAGGTGTGGGGATGTGTGTGAGGTAGGTGGAAGGCAGAGTGAATAATGGCCTGAATTATTAGAACAGAAAGATATTGTGAGGGAGGAGCAACACCACCCCCCACTGCAGGAGGTGTGCAGAGTCCTTGCTTCTCCTGGAAGTCCTGGGAAGTTCCATGTGTTCTGCTTGGATTGGAACATGGTGGTTCAGGCCTTTGGAACTCCTCCCCCAGTGAATTTCCGGCTTATGTTTGTGTTAACATTCATATTTTCTGGGAAACTTAAATTAAATTGGACAGCCTTACCTGGTTGCTTTCTGTTCTGTCACCACAGACCTTGGTTTATTGTCTGATTGGTATGCTTCAGGTGATTTCTCCACCCTGGGAATATTTATTCACTGCCCTTGTAGGAAAAATTTATATCAAACCACAGCAGCAGAAGCATTTGTCTTAAATGTGTAGGAATGTGAGATATTACTTAAAATCTTGATGTTTCTGAAAGTGTATAAAGTTATGAATAAATGCTGGCAGGGGCTTTTATTTTGACATAAACCAGAGGAAGGAGAATTGCTTTAAGGGATCTGGACTAGCCCAAGTCTGAATAAAATTTAATGAATGAACAATGTAACCAATCAATCATGTTGTGGAGCCTTTCAGAAGGCTAGAACATTCTGGTCAAGATCTTATAGGGATGAGCTATTAAGATTTTGAGACAGCCATGCTTTACAGAAATAAATGTGATGTTTTAAAATGTTACATGCATGCAAGAATCTGTGCATGAGCATGTGTGAGGAGGAGAGACTGATAGATGGGGTGGGGGAATGACAAATGACTTGTTTAGTATTTTACTTAATGGCTCGTGATACATTCCTGCTTTGAGAATAAATCCAATATTCTGAACTTATTTCTATGTTCCCTGCAGGCTTATAAGAAAAATATTTTAAAATCTATTT